ATCTATCAAGAGAAAGGTTAATTATTTACCAAAAAGTTGTGAAAATATGCGAAGATATCGATTAGATCCAGATTATAGTGGCAAAATATAAACTGTTATTATGGACCAATTATTTATTTTCATTTAGTTTCTTTGGTGCTTCAAATTACTATTAGGTACATCATCTGGAATTCAGGAACAGTAGGTACCTAAATGCATTAGCAATTACCACGTTTATGTTTCCTGTTAAACCGTTGCAACAGAAAACGTTCCACCATAAAGCGCTAGTATAAACACCACATAAAACGTTTTATCTCGTTGAACCGTTTTGATTTAAAACGTTAAACGTGTTTTAGTCAATTTGGAAACGGTTTCAATATTGCGTAAACATCTCAAACCGTTTTAAGGGAGTGCCAGCACTGTTTGTTCTGACATTTGAAAACTGTTTTGGGGAAAGCCCCATAAAAGTATAAATACAGGATAAAACGTTTTTCGGTATCTTCAACCGACAGAAAACTTCTTCTCCTTGTTCAAAACGTTTTAAGTTCGAAAACATTTCAGCGGTAAAAACGGTTTAACGGAAGCCTAAACTCACTCAATCATTCCAACTCCCTGTTCCCCATGTTCTAAAGCCCAACGTAGGTATAGACTTAATTTCGACTATGCATTTAATCTGACTTAATGGTAATATTCGTATGCATTACTTGAAATTTAGGCTATTTTGGAAGACGAATAGCTCAATCTTGATCTTCTAGCCTCGTCTTTATGGTTCGAATTTTTTTTTGCCAAAATGAATTTATAAATAGGTACCTATATAAAGTTATAAGGAAACATAAGAAACGCTGCAGATAGGATCAATACTTCCACATCACGCTTTATATCTATTTGAAATTATTTTAAATTAATTAATTAAATTAAATTAAATTTTGACAAGCCGCCATTTTGTTTTGGAGAGTGACAGCGCCGCTGTCGCAGTGATTTGAGACTTCTTGGATATAATGAGAACAAGAAGACTTCCAATATTAGGCACCATTAATATACTTTCGCAATCTAAAATTTATTGTCAAGATGGCGGTTTTCCCTACCTCTGGATGAATTTTGCTGAAAACGAATCAGAAGCCTCCTTTTAAGTCTTAAATAAAAACCCGACCAACAACTCCGTAGCTATAGTGTACGTGTATTGGAAGAAAGTTGCGATTAGCCAAGCGTTCGTGCAGCAATCAATTCAAATAGTTTCAATTATTAACCCTGGCTACAGCTGATTCCTAATTCCTTGCCGAACCAATAAGGTCATGGAAACTGACATTCTTGAAAGATTATTAAAAAAAAAGGTACGGCATCTATAAACAGCATACACACATACACATATTTTTGTGATGATGTATTTTCGCCCTTGATATTTAGAAAAAAGAAGGTCTTCCATAAATTAATTGTTTAATTTGAACTATGATTTTTGAAATCTCGCACTTTGCAGGAAGAGGACTAAAAGTTTCCAAACTATTATGCAATTGAGATATGAATTATTTATTATCTAAGCGTCGAAAAGGAAGAAATTAGATATACCGGTAATGATCTAAAAAAAATGTAATATGTATATTGTTTTGGGCTGTCGGCTTTCTTTAATTAATTCATTACCTAATGCTATACAAGCAATTTTAAATATTTCATAACAGTCATAACGACTAGTATGTGTATGTATGGAGTCAATTGAATTTGGCTTGGACTGTACAGGGTCTTTGATTATATTTAGGCCCCTATCTACAGTCTTTACTATTTGAGATAGAAAATATTTTTATACAAAACTTGAAAGTTTTTTTCTAAATTTTCTTTTAACGTTACCAGAAAAAACAAAATCGCATCGGAAAATGGAGAAACGTAGACAACTCCAACTTTTTTTAATGGGATACCCTGTATATTATCCGATAAAATTAAAGATCTTTTCTTCCTGATGCCAAATATACAGGGTGACAATTTGAAAAGTAGCAATCGGGAAAGTCTCTTAGACAAAAAATATTATCAGGAAGATCTCAAATACGTATCGAGGGATTGGAGGGGAACCAAAATGAGGCATTACCCCTTAGGGGGTAGCTACCCCAACTTTTTTTTTTCAAATACGAACCTACCTTGTACTGTACATCATTCGATAGCTCCTTGCTATTCCTTTATAGTCATATAGGACAATCCTAAATCGGACGATTGGTTTTTGAGATATCGGTCTTTAAAAGTGAGCATATTTTGAAAACTAGTAATTTTGACTAGCTCATAGACAAAAAAAATCTGTCATAAAAGTTTCGAATACACATCGGCGAAACCAAATAATATGTTTATCGTAATTCTATCTGCTTGTGCACGTCTCTAAAGACGAATAAATAATCTTTCATAGGAGGTATCACACGGGGTAGGTTCTCATTTTAGAAAAAATATTAGGAGCGGCTAGCCACCAAGACAAGGGGGCGGGGATGAGGCAATAAACACATTTGGTTTCCCCGATGTGTATTTGAAACTTTTATAACAGAATTCTTTTGTCTAAGAGATAATCAAAATTACTAGTTCTCAAAATATGCTCATTTTCAAACACCGATATCTCAAAAACATAACGTCCGATTTAAGATTTTCCTATATGACTGTAAAGGGAAAGCAACGAGCTATCGAACGATGTGCAAAACAAGGTAGGTTCGTATTTGAAAAAAATAAGTTGGGATAGCTACCCCCTAAGGGGTGAGGCGGGGTGACTCAAAAAGTTCCTCATTTTCGTTCCCCCTCCAATCCCCCGATACGTATTTGAGATCTTCCTGATAGTATTTTTTGTCTTGGAGATATTCCCGATTGCTGCTTTTCAAATTGTCACCCTGTATACAATGTGTCCAAGATAAGGAAGGCCAGTATGGGGATCTGGGAAACGGTAAGAGATACGAGGTCGCTTAAATTAGTAAAAAGTTGCGCAATTTTGTGCTCATTAATGCTTTGATATTTTAAAAATTCCGATTGCTCGGAGATATCTGGAAAAAACCGAAATTCGACCAAAATGATTTTATTTTTTCCTGACCTTATTTGAAGAGATATTTCAGAATGAATGGCCACTTTTTCTCGTCTACAAGATGCCACCATCTAATTTAAAATCTGACGTTTCGTCTTGGGGCCACCATTATCAACTTTATTTTTTTAAATACGACCCTGGATTTTTTATTCCAGATTTTAAGAGCCTCTGATGTCCCTGAAGTTTACAAAAAAAATCGGAAATGTTTATTCAAAATTAAAAAGTGAAGAAGAAAAATTAAAAAAATCTGGAGAAGTATATTCTTGTGAATGTGATCTCGAATATTTAGGAGAAGCTTCTCGTGCTTTTAAAGACCGTTTAACATCACTTAAAAGTGACGTAAGACTCAACAAAAGAAGTTATGCATTAGCGGAGCATTGCATAGATACCAATCATATTTCAATTTTCAACGACATAGAAATATTACACACTGAAAATAACAACTTGGGAAGCAAATTTTTGGAAATGATCCAAATTAATAATGGTACAAATTGTTCAAACAAAAAGAAAGATCTAGAAGACTTGCATTTTATTTATTCTTTTTTATTAACTTTTACTGATAACTAAAATATTCATGAGAGAAATGCTGAAACCCAATTAACTTAATTGATACCTATTTAACACCTTTTTTTACCTTTATTATATTTTTAGATTTTTTCCGGTTTTTTGGAATGTTTCAAATTTTTGTCAATTCTAATTTGTCAATATCTTATTTGTTATCGAAAAAAAAAGAGAAAAATTAAACAAATGGACTTTTTCAATTATCCTACATCTGATGTAAGGACTCATAATTATTAACTTCACATTGTTTGTAAGTAAACTCCATGTTATTATTTATAAAATTTATATTAATATATTGTAAATCCATATTTTAGTGACTTGACGAAGAAATAAGGAAATTCGAAAGCTTGTCAAGACAAAAAAGAGTATTTTATTTTTTTGAGCCCAATTACATTTGCCAAAAATAACCCACCAAAGTACATTTTCATATTCAACTATACGGCAACGATATACATTCTCGATATTGTATATATATATTTATTGATCTTGCAATTTCTATAAGAATTGGAGAATGAAATTTATATAATTTTAAAGATTTTCTAACTAATGAATTAGCTTTTTTTTTCATTTTATTTATAATTTAAGCTTAGATGTATCAAAAATGGCTCACGCAAATGTGACCAATTTATAATTGGAATCGGGAATCATTTTATCGCATAATATACAGGTCGTTCCATTAAAAAAAGTTGAAGTAGTCTACGTTTCTCCATTTTCCGATGCAATTTTGTTTTTTTCTGATAACGTTAAAAAATAATATAGAAAAAAAACTTTCAAATTTTGTATATAATTTTTTTTTTCTATCTTAAATAGTAAAGGCTGTAGGTGGGCTTAAATATAATCAAAGACCCTGTACCTACTCGTAAAAAATAGTCTGGCTTGTGAATAAAAATCATATGCCATCTATTGAAACCTATACGCTAAACTTAATAGGCCATAACGAAATAATACTTCGCGGCACTTTTTTAATGCCACTCTGTCTCTCGAGCAAATCAGAATGGCCGTCTGGACAACGAAAAGCTTTATGGCTTTATTATGAAGAAACAAAAAGCAAATCAACCGAACTTTGGGTGAGTTATATTTTCGAACGACCACAATAAACTAACTGTATTTAAATGATTCGTTATGTGAATTAAATTTTTGACAGGACTAATCCAGATCAACCTGGGTCGGTTAGATTGTAAGGATTTCCGAATGCTAAAACTGTGAAAGCTCTAGGTTGACCGAGGAATAAAATAACCGAGTTTTTTCTCTTGATTGCTAATGTCCAAAATTGTTTAGTGAGAATTTTTGTTTGTTAAGGATATAGGGGCTCTAGTGAACTAAACACTCAACACATTCCTGAGCATCATCTATGCTTTAAATCGGAATTGGGATAAGATCAAGATAAAAACAATCCAATAAATAGATGGTAGATGGTACTTACTTTATAAGAGAATTTCTTGATAGTGTACTTAATTCGCCAATAAAATATCCGCGTGAATTATTTGTTGAAAGTGAAAACACCGCACTGGAACTGACGAACAATCTTGAATCGACTTTGCATCGAGTATTTTGTGTATAGGTACCAGCGCGATGAAAGTCTTATTTCGGCGGGGAGTTCTTTAAGGTACTCGCTTTCGCGTTATGGAGAGACCGGAGAGGTACCAATTTTACTTTCAATAATATTCGAGCAAAAATAATGAAATGCAGGGAAACGGATGCAAATTATAACAATAAAATCAGTTGCTTTAAAAGCGAAAGGAATTTGATTCTTTAGTTGAACGACAGATTAATTAACATTAGATGCGAAAGCTTAAGTAAATATAATATGGACTATAAATTCATTTGGAGGTTTCCTTTTTTTTAAATTTATTCTGATGTGGTTCAGTTATGGGGCTTGTGTCGTGTGGCTTGAGTCCGCAAGTTTCTCTATAAATTTTGTTCTTGGTTTCTTATATATAACATAGTTATTTATAGGTGATGTAGATAAGGTAGAGTAAATTCTTCTGCATTCACGTAAACGTAAACGACAGACATATGATAGTGATTAATCGAGTAATCAATTATCCAAATACACTAATATCTCGATATAATTACTTGATTAAACACTAACCGGTTAATCAAATAACAAATGGGCATGTTTCCGATTTTTTTTTTCGCCTATTGAATAGTATTTTGCTTGCTTATTTATAATGTGCATTTCTTTTTTTTCTGCGTTCCCTATTTTTTTTATTTTATTTTAATTTTTGACAAAAGCACCTCATTCAAACAAAACCCTTTCTGACAAAACAAAGGTTTCTTCTCATGCGCATATCTGTTTTAGGATGTTGACAGTTTGTACTTTTTGAATTATTATAAGGTATAATCATCTTTTTTTTTTATTGAATCGGCTTTTACTAGGTGGAAATCCATTATCTAATACATGAAAGATTTTTTAAGTAAATTTCAATACTTATATATTTCCACTAAAAATTAGTGGAAATATACAGGGTGGTCCTCCGGGAATGACATCGATTGCTTATGGGAAAAGTGTGAAAGGTAAAAATTTGAAAATTTGGCAACATAGCAATGTCGATGGGAGACATCCAGGTAAAATATTTTCAAGATGGCGGCATTTCCGGTCATACCGGAAGTTGATACCAACTCGGTTATTTTAAATAGAACACCCCGTATATTAATGTATTTTTGGATTCTAAGGAAAATTCTAAATACATTTCATGTACGATGCTAAGTCTAACCGTTTTTGACATATTTAAGTTTTTATGTAAAAAATTACGTTTGCAGACCCTAAAATAATTGTCAATTTTTCCTATAAGGAAGCCTTTATTCTTTGATTGAACCTTGATTCCTTGTTGAAAAGGACCTATTTTATTAGATTTTCATTATGTTTTGATAACTTTTAATACAGGGTGCTTAAAAAATAAGATTAAAAATAAAGTTGAGAAAACTTCCAAAAATCAATTTTTTCAAATGGAAACCCCAAAATTTTATAATTTTATCTTGTTAAGCATTAAAAATAAAGGTAAGTTTGTGTAAGGTTATCTATTCCGAAAATGTTTAGTTTTCGAAATATTGCCAATTTAATATTTTTATATGGCGATTTTGCTCTAAAAATAATAACTGAACGCACCCTTGCGCATGACAAAATGTCAATCAGAACGTGCATGTCCTTGTCACAAAAATTGAAATAATTTTCGATAATAATCATGCCGGGAAGATTAAATTATACAAATGAAGATTATTTAAATTTATTTATTATTTATGGAGAATGTAATAAAGTTATTTCAAGAACATGTGATACATTTGCGAACCGATATTCGCAGAAACAGAAACCAAGTGAAAAAACTGTTAAAAGAATTTTAGAAAACTTCAAGAACTTTGGATCCGTCAAAGCTAAAGTACATAGAAATAAACCAGTTGTTAACAATGAAAAAAGTTACAAAAATTATTTTAATAAATGTTCAAATTGATGGCCTTGAACTTCGAGACATTTTTCGCACCTACGAAGGAATTCTTCATGGGTGGTTCTTCTTATTGACTGAGGGTTAAGGCCTTCAAATGCTGTTCTGACTCGCCGCTTGCAGTCTTCCATGGTGGGTAATGCGGTCTTATAAACTCTATTTTTGACTGTTCCCCAAATGAAAAAGTCGAGTACTGTTAGGTCGGGGGAGCGAGGTGGCCAAAGATGTGGCCCATCGTTGGCTATCCATTGGTCATAAAATAAGTTTTGCAAATGGTTGTTGACTAAATGACCATTATGTGGAGGCGCCCCATCATGTTGATAAAATAGATTTCTACGGTCGGCTAGTGGCAAGTTGTCTAAATAGTTGACTTCAAAATTTCTAATGATGTTGAGATAGCGCTCACCTATAAGTGAAAGAATGGATTTTATATCTAGAAGGCTTCAAAAATAGGTATAGTTTTTCCAAAGTCACTTGGAACAAGGTAACAACTGGTGGCTGACTGGTCAATGAACATTCTCATAAGAAATGTACTGCCACTAGTCTGCCACCAGTTATGATCTACTTTTACCTTGTTCCAAGTGACTTTGGTAATACTATAGCTCACCATTTAGATTTTCTTGATAGAATTCTAGTGCCACGACCCCGTCATTTCTTATGGCACAATAAACGTTAAACTGCCACAATTCTTGAAAATTTAATTCTCTAAATAGATGTAGGTTTGAGTCGCTCCAATAATGCGAATTGTGTCGATTGAACATCCGGTTTTTTGTGAATTTAGCTTCGTCCGACCAAATAATATTATCAAAAAAAAAACGCATTTTCTTGTGACCGAATTAACATGAAATCACAGAACTCCACTCTTCTTGGAAAATCAGTCTCTTTTAAATGTTGTACTGTAGATAATGCGTATGGATGAGACTTATGTTTCCATAAAATTCTTAGAACTGATGTTTTAGATAATCCTGATTCTAATGCTACTTGCCTTGTAGATATTGTTGGATTTACGGCAAAATATCCCAAAATTGCGATTTCAATATTTTCATTGTTAACAACTGGTTTATTTCTATGTACTTTAGCTTTGACGGATCCAAAGTTCTTGAAGTTTTCTAAAATTCTTTTAACAGTTTTTTCACTTGGTTTCTGTTTCTGCGGATATCGGTTCGCAAATGTATCACATGTTCTTGAAATAACTTTATTACATTCTCCATAAATAATAATAGTTATTTACATTACAAGTGCGTTTATGAACATGATTACAATAACGAGTGTGAAAGATTAAAACGACGAGGTCGTAGACCGAGTCGTTCTAATCACACGAGTTTTGTATTCATGTTTAAACGCACGTGTGATGTACAACTTTTTATCTACAAAGCGAAGAATAAGATTTTTTTTCAAACATTTTCGTTTATTAGTCGTTGTTATACCTTCATTTTACCTTTACAGGTTTACCTTTGACATTTGTCAAATCACCAAAAATAGTTGTGTTATGAATTCATAACCTTGTCCATAACACCACTAGTTGTGTTATGAATTCATAACCTAGTCCATAACACAACTAGTTGTGTTATGAGCCTCATGACATAACTCAAATACTGGAAAAATAGTTATGTAAAAACGTCATAACCAAACGCTTGTAGATAAATAAATTTAAATAATCTTCATTTGTATAATTTAATCTTCCCGGCATGATTATTATCGAAAATTATTTCAATTTTTGTGACAAGGACATGCACGTTCTGCTTGACATTCTGTCATGCGCAAGGGTGCGTTCAGTTATTATTTTTAGAGCAAAATCGCTATATAAAAATATTAAATTGGCAATATTTCGAAAACTAAACATTTTCGGAATAGATAACCTTACACAAACTTACCTTTATTTTTAATGCTTAACAAGATAAAATTATAAAATTTTGGGGTTTCCATTTGAAAAAATTGATTTTTGGAAGTTTTCTCAACTTTATTTTTAATCTTATTTTTTAAGCACCCTGTATTAAAAGTTATCAAAACATAAAGAAAATCTAATAAAATAGGTCCTTTTCAACAAGGAATCAAGGTTCAATCAAAGAATAAAGGCTTCCTTATAGGAAAAATTGACAATTATTTTAGGGTCTGCAAACGTAATTTTTTACATAAAAACTTAAATATGTCAAAAACGGTTAGACTTAGCATCGTACATGAAATGTATTTAGAATTTTCCTTAGAATCCAAAAATACATTAATATACGGGGTGTTCTATTTAAAATAACCGAGTTGGTATCAACTTCCGGTATGACCGGAAATGCCGCCATCTTGAAAATATTTTACCTGGATGTCCCCCATCGACATTGCTATGTTGCCAAATTTTCAAATTTTTACCTTTCACAGTTTTCCCATAAGCAATCGATGTCATTCCCGGAGGACCACCCTGTATAAGTATTGAAATTTACTTAAAAAATCTTTTATTAGGTATAATCATCATTTAGAAAATTTCGAGTGGGTAAGCATGTGATGTGCGATTAATAATGTGAAATAATTATATAAATAGATATATACAGGGTGCTTCATTGGGAAAGGGACATATTTTGCATGCAGATAGTGGTGACCGAGAGGGTTCCAAAAAACCTATATTTGATGGGTCTATCACCTTTTATATCAGAGATACAGGGTGATTTATCGATTTTGTTACTTTTCTTATTTCCCTATAACTTCTGAACGACCCCGTATTTTTTTCTCAGATTTGGTATACTTATTAATGGTAACCTACCTAATTTCTTAGTTTACTAAGTTGGAAAAAAAACCAGGTTTGTCTTTGTCAAAATCTTCCATATTCTGTCTACCCCGAAAAGCCACCCTGTATATTTAAATTTTAAAAATTTTCTTTTGTTAATTAATTTAGCACGAAACATGCTATTCCAAAATGTAGTGCACATTTTTCCGCACGAATTGTTTATAAAAAAGGTTCAGGTGTGAATGGATTATTTTCAGCCTCTGCTTGCGCTGAACGCGTCTAAAGAAGTTTAAACTTTAAAAAAAATAAAAATATTGCTTGTTTTTTGTTGCTTATTGTTTAAGGCTCGTATTTAAATGAGGCCTTACTA